GAAAAAGAAACTAGAAGAGTGGAGGCACCAGGAGGGGGCAAAGAAGTCACAATTTAGAGAAAGCAGCACAAGAACGTATTTGGCAGCAGCAGGATTATCACAGAAAGCTTCTGCAGTTCCAGAAGAAGAGACAGCTAGAGGAACAAGGAGCAGGTGGTCTATAGAAAGGCTGTTGCTTACTCTAGATGCAGATAATTCATCTGAATGGATTATTTCTGGTAAAGACACAGACTTAGCCTGTGTGTCTGCCATGGAATTCCTGTGACACCAAGTCCCAAAATTGCAGTACCTCAGCTGCTCCTCTTCTCTTAATTGCATACAGCAACAATAGTCCTCTCTTCCAGTCCCTGCAGCATGAAGGGACATGAAATTCCACAGCCGAGCTGCGATGCAACTATGCAAGATGCTAGCAATAACAACATTCATCCTACATCTGTTTATTTGTTTTTGTTTTCATTACAGATCTTCTCTGAAAGCCCAAGTCCCAGTAGCTACACAGGTGAAAAAAGAGATTCTACTTCTAACAAATAGTTGCAGAGGAAGGCTTGAAAACCTAAATGCCAAGCAGATTTAAAAAAAAAATCCAATTACAATTTAAGACTAACTCATATATTTGACACAATATTAAATACTTGTAATGTCAGTATTACAGTAGTATTTTCTATTTGTAACTGATGAAAAAAAAATTCCTAAACAGGAAGTATGTGAGCAACTAATAGTTGTTGGTGATCTGTTTCCAAGAGGCAGATAAATGCAGAGAGAAAGAAGAAGTAACATGGTTAGAAGAGGAATCCCAGCAACTGGTGGAGAAGGCAGAAGAACACCTGGAGTATGAAAGAAACTGGGGCAAAATACAAGGCTCAGGAGCAAACAAAGAAAGAGGAAGATGTCAGACTAGCTCTAGAGTAAGCCAAAACACAAGCACAACTTTGAATCAGGTATGTAGCTATTAATCGAAGAGTGAAGTCAATTTTTTCCTCAGTAATAATATTTTTACACCTAATGACAAACTATACAAAAATACTTCTGTAGTCAGTTCCATCAGTGTAGTTAACATTGAAGAGCAGTACCAGTACCTCAGGAATTAGTTAAGCTGCCTTCAATTCAAACTCCAAGACACAATGCGATTCTTTTGCTATTTAACCAGTTTTCCAATGTTTTCACAGACTCCATCAGCAATTCAAGTACATCTTATCTGTAATTTTTAACTGTTTCAGAGTTTCCGGTGTCCACTTACACTGCAGAAAGAAGCCAAGCTAGATTTCCTCCACATCTGAAATTATAATTACCTTTAGGCAGTCCATCAGAGCACACTCCAGCACAGCATGCTTCCAGAACTCATTCCTACCAGCACCTCAGAACACAGGAACTGGGAATCTGCATATCGCATACTAAAACACTGCAAATAGCATCTTAAGGGAAGCCTAGATCAATTTGTCAGGCACAAAGCAGTAGCAGAGATAAGAGCATATATGGGAACTACAGCTGAGCAGGAATAACTATCTCCTGGTGGCTCTATTCATACTGTTGTGATAGCAGAACATAATGGCCCATAAGAAGGTATTAGCATAGGCCAACATTTTCTTCCCCAGCCCATTCCAAACCTTGCTTAAAGCCAGCTCCCGGGGGAGGTCCAATCTCCCGTTCAAAAGGCACTATCTTGTACTGTAGCAAAGTCAAAGAAACTGCCAGTGAAACCGCAATGAGCTGAGTGCGTAGGTTTCAAGTCAAAGCACCAACTTTGTAACCCAAGGAGGAATTTTGTCCTGCATCTGTAATCCACTTTATTAACACTGTTTGCAGGCACAGAGCACATCTGTAGCAACCTCTGCATTTCCAACAAGCACTAGTAATAGAAGCTACTGGACTAGAACACACTCCAAGGTGTTCCTCATCCATGGGTGGTTTCTTATTTTCAGCTGCTTGAAAAGCTAGGTCTGAAAACCATACAAGAGGATAAATAAATGCATGGTGTCAGGAACAGGTCACTGCAGTGAGTTCTTTCAGTTACAGTCTAATTCAAGGTTTCAACCTGATTCAAAAGAGAAACAACATTCCTTTTCGGAATAGGTACTAATCTCAATCACAAATTATTTTCCCAGGCTGCAACAGCAGTCTGTGTATACATCAGTAGTGACAGCAAGTAAAAGCATTCATATTTTATCAGCCAGCAGAAATTAATCCAGACAGACCTCCTGAGGTACCAGAACACATTAGTTTAGCCTTTGCTGCTTCATCCCAGATTCTTTGGTCCATTTTGTGTTAGAGATAAAATAATGGAATGGCCAGTTTACAAAAGGTATGTCAGTACTGACTTTTGGAGGAATCCTCCAAACCAATAAATTGCATTAAACGTGCTGCTGCTTAAGAAAAGGCTAGATATCACTATCAAGATGACAAGAGAAACTATAGCAAGATAAGAACTTTTCTTCCTTGTAAATCAGATTTATCTTATCTCCTGCTTCTCTAATATTACCTAAATGTAACATTTGTAGATTCAATTCATATTGCAGTTCCTGTAGACAGTCTCTTGCAGAGAAGAATAATCAATTTTTGCAGTCTCTAAATTGAAGCTGAACTTCATTAAATTAAATATGCATTAAGTACTGGTTCTAAAAGCAAAACAAAACCAGTTCACATTACTTCTAACTTGGACAATTCCTACAGTTCTCTGTATGGTGTCTCAGAAGTCCATCTTCTCATTGAAGAAAATTTACCTGAACAGCAATAATTCAAAAGTGCATACAGATGATGTGCAGGTCAGCATAACATATTTTAGTACTGTATTCTTAAAAAACAATTTCCACTTAAAGTAAGAAAAGTTAAAAACCAGTATACAGTTGTAGAGCTTCTAAAACAATACGTGACTAGTCAAAGTTTGTGGCAGACTTCAAGTTTTAGCGTTATCTGATATCCTAACTGAAGTCCAAATCTTGACATTTTCCACATCTAGCTTAAAAAAACCAAAATCTAATTTCATGGAATTGATGATCATGTAGATATACTTAAGACAATACACAAATCCTTTAAACACACCAGCTTTAAAAAAAATCTGAGACATGATTTTTAAAGCATTTATAAAGACAGCTTTTATACACAACCACAGTGAATATTTAATATATTAATTTCACAATTAGAAATAAAGCGTTAGCCTCCACCTTCCATTGCATAACTGACTCAGTTAAGATGGTTTCATTCTCCCACCACTTTTTTTTTTTCCAACACTTAGTAAAACCAGCTATCAGCAACTGAACTCAGTTCTTTTAATATACAGGTAAGTATGTAAACAAACACAAATTGCAGGAGGAAAAAAAGATTATTTTCTCTGTTTTTCTCCATAATATGAAGGCAAATCTGAAACTCAGTCACATGCTTCAAACCTATGAGTGGTTTAGAAATTCCATTCCAGACCATCTTTTCAGAAGGAAATTCTTTGAAAAGTATTAGTTCTTCCCATGAAATTAAGAAAATTCAAGCCTGTCTACTCCTTGACTTAAAAAATAATTTTATTTCAATGTATAGCTTTCAAGAATGAACTTAAAAAAGGGTACTAGTGCATCCGTGTAGCATGTGTGTCTTCTCATTTTACATGAAGCTCTCAATACTAATCTTTGGTGTAGAGTACAGTTTTCCTGTTATTACTGTTCCATCAAGTTGTAACAGTATAGACACTGCTTTAGATCAGCAGCTCTGCTGAGGCACTAGCTCCTCGAGGCTTCACAAGTCTGAGAGGTCAAGTCAGTTTGTCCCTGGTACCATATCCACTCTACTATAAAGTGATGTAGTTTTGGACAAAGTTACACAATAAAAAGAAGTCTTTGTCTTGAGCTTCATCCTACTGAAACTAAAACCCAGGGGATCTGGATTGTGTTCTCAGCTCCACTTTCAGCTTCCAGAGTGACCTGAGTGAACTACCATTCCCTGCACCTCAGTTCCTGCTTTGCAGGAGGATAATAGGAATTTATCTACTAATGAGCATTATACAAATTTAAGTTAGAAGATGATAGTCACAAGGCTGTTTTATTTCTGGTATTCTGAAGCAGATATACTTAGTATCCTAAAAAAGCAATCGGAGATAAGTGCAAAGAAGCCATGCTGTTCTACATCATAGTAGCAATCCCTTTTCCCCCTAAAATTGAATTACACAGAATACTTCAAGAAAACCCCATATTCTGACATTTTGTAAACAAAAATTTTAATCTTTAAAAAATTGCTTAGTGCAACTATGTGTACAAAAGTATTACTAAATCAGAAACAGGAAACAAACCACAGGCATAAAAGAAAAAGCATTTCTAGCTTTACAGCAAGTGCCATAAAAACTAATCATTCAACATCTGCAATTTCTTCCAAGTATGTCAGCACTAAAATGTGTCTTTAAATGAAGTTGGCATTCATAGTAGACTTGATTTACCAAACCAAACCAGAATCAAGTCCTATTTATCTGCAGAAAGGCTGAAGCAGGGACAGTGCAAAAACTTCCTCTCCACTCTGTCCTGCCCATAACCTCTCATCACAGCTTTCATATCCAGTAACATGTTCTCAAACTGACCATTTAGAACCCACAACTAGCTAAAACATGAAGTGGACTCTCAATAATGATGCCTGACAATCATGACACTTCCATGTCATCCATTATAGGGAGATTATTTAATGGTATCATGATCATATGAAATATAGACATTAAAAACCACCTTTGTATTTCTTTCTATTTGCATTTCCAGTTTACCTTCTGTAGCTGAAGTGAAGCTGTCTGTAACTGTATATGAATATTCTCTAACATGAAAAGAAACAGCTAGTAGTCTCAAACAGTCACCTGCAAACCAAGCAGATCAAATATTTTACTATGGCAAGTAGAAAAAAGTTTTTCTTTTTTTAAATGAGGTATATTTACAGAGCATATTTTTTCTGGCTTCAGCATATAGTTACTGGAAAAGCATGCCCTAATTATAACTTTCTATGGTTTTTTGCTCATTTCCAAACATTTGAAAAGAAAATGCAAGTTGTTTATAAAATTGTTTTTCTTGTTTATTTTAAATGAAGCTGGTACAGACAATGTCCATTCAAAACCCACGTCCCAGGCCAAAAGGTACAAACAAGAGTGTCAAAGTAACACCAGTTGTCTGCTGTGAACATTCTTGCATGAATACCTGCGTGTACTAATTGCTATATGAAGTTAAATGCTTCTGGGCTCTTCTGGTAAAATTTAAGAATCATTAGGGTTTTCAATTTTATGTCTTCAGCAAAGCCATCTCTGGAGCAAGGTACAAATGACAACAGTTCTAGCTTTTCCATTTCCAACTTGGTAATCTTCTTCACTGGGCCATCAGCACAATTTAAGCAAAATAGCTCTGAGTTATGGATACACAATTTCTCCACAGTTTAGTTCTCTGAAAACTTCATCTCGCACTGAAAGTTATAGTCCAGGAGTGAAACAGTCACACATCAAAACTTCAGGGCAGATATGGAAGTCATTAAGAACACTCGCCCACCTGGCAGATCTTACAGCCTTCGTGCCTGAAATGCACGAACCTAGTGAACATACAAATGCATGTGTGTACATGTATTTCTAAAGGGGAGGGCAGAAGGGAAGAGGGGAGCAAGGCTGCAGCTGGATCACAAGAGTTCAGCACAATGAAAACAGAAACAATAGTGTATAATGAGCACGAGAATTCAAAATACCAGACGCTTGAAAATAAACTCCCAGAGATGGGGTGCCAGTTTCAATTCAGTGTTGAACACCACATTACAAAAGAACTATTATTTAAAAATAAAAAAGGATTAAGGGGGAAGAAAACAAACAGAAGGATCTAAACTGTTGAGTGACCCCCCGTCTGTTCCTGATAAACTTCAATCACATCTTCCTCCTCCATCCCCAGCTGTGAGAACAGAGAAAAACAGCATATAATTGTTATAAATCTGGTGTACTAAATTCAGAGTAGGTCCTAGACAAGTTATACAACGGTTTGTTCCTCTGTCCCATCATAATTTATCAAAGGGGTGAAAAAATTTTAGTCGTCATTTCACTAGCCAACACTCAGGCTTTTTTAGTCCTTTTCCTTCAGTCTTATACATCTCAGTCAAAGCAAAAGCTTTACCAGTGAAGAATTGAATACACTTGTAGAGCAGTACACATCAGGCTGGAAGCTGCTAGCTTTACCTTTCTCTAAATCCTGTCTTGGGCAACAGATGCACAGGAACATAACCAACATCATAGTGAATGCAGCAGCTGTGCAGCCACATGAACTATATATAGCACACTACTAGCTCACAATACAGCTAAGACCTACAGCTTGCAACTCAAAGCCTGTTTACAACTGTTCTCTCAAAGAGGGTAACTTGTTCAGAGTACACAAGTTTGATTTTTCAGAAGGTCATTATTATAATAGTCTTTCTTCCTGCTTTGTCGTAACAACTGGTGGAAGTAACCTGTTTTTCTATTTATTTACACTTTCATCTAATAAATATGTATTTAGTTCACATTTACTCCAACATCACACTGAAGTTCTAGCTCAACAACTGTGAAGTTCCCTTAGCTTTTTTTTCCTCTCTGGCAAGCAATGACTACACCCTCCCTTCTGAGACGTTACACATGAAGGTCCAATCAATCTCTTTCAGAAATGCCTATCTCCTTTGTTAAAGATTCTAATGAGACAAATATAGTCAAACTATACTTAACTAAATATAATCCAAAAAGTAGGCTATATTTAAAGAAACTTCTTCATGCTGGTTAACAGTCTAGCAGAACAGAGAAACTAACAAGTTTGCTATTTAGTTTCTCCAGTGAACTATGTGACACCTTTTCTAGAAAGAAACTCACCTCCTTGGGGGTATGATTATCAGTAATTCTCTGACCCTCGAAGAGGAACCTGAGTGAATTCATTGGAACACCCTAAAAAAGAAACAGATGCACAAAAAAAAAAACCACCTTATGAAACTTGTTCAGATTTACAAGAAAAACACTTCTAATAAAACTAACACATGAAAAAAAAAAAAGAAAGCATTAGTTCCCGTTACACAGGGAGCTCAGCTATTCTGTTGCAACCATGTAGACTACAAAACAGTGACTCAAGGAACAAAATAGTGCTGAAACGCACATTTATTCTGAAGTCTCACTGGAGTTCTAGTTCAACAACTTGGAAGCTTCCTTAGCTTTCCCCCCTCCCGCCCTTGTCTTTTTTTATTTATAAATATACTACACCCTCCCTTCCAAGCCAACATTACAGGTGAATGTCCTGTCTTCTTCTGAACTGCATAATTGGCCTTATTAAAGATCCTAAGACAACAGGAGGAATACAGTGCTTACTTCATGAACTCCTACCCTTCTTTCCCAATCTTATATCACCATAGGAAGGAATAGCAACTTTCATTGCTATCAGTTCTGTAAAAGCTCTACACTGGGGAGAAGAAAGAGCAGAGCTGAGGGGAAGAAAAAGGAAGACGATTCAAACTGAAAGAAAGTAGCATCCCAATGGTAATAAAGTTAAGTTGCAGTACGTCTATTGTATAATGCGCCTATGTTATGGCAGATGGTATTTCATCTCAAAAGATGAGGCAAACAATCTTTTTCTTCTCTTTCAAAAGCTATGAGCAAAACAAACATAAGTGAAATACAACCTGTTTTGTGTATCAATTAGATCTCAAAGATTGCTTGCAAATAACTAGGCAGAAAAATTCACAGGAAAGAACAGCTCTTCACACTGTTCCAGCAATCCCTCTGGACAACCTGGAAGAAATGTTCATGGTCCCTTTACCAGAGAAAGGCTACTTGACACCAAAAAACACATTGACTGCTGATGAAGGAAATCACAGACTCTCCAGAATTCAGCCCAGGAGAGAGATGACTGCTGCATGAATTATTTCCAAGATCTTATTTTTAAATTTAAAGTTTTTCAAATGAATCATAATTTTAATAATTTGCATTTGGCTACAAACATATCTGGTGTTTGATGTTTTCTTTCCTCCCACTCCAGAAGGATAACAAAAAAAGAACACATTCTGCAAAAGATACTTCAATTGAGAAGTTCAACTTGTCTCAAGGTATTAAAAAAAAAACCCAAAGTATTATTTCTTATTATTATATCCCCTGAAGTGAACTCCAACCAGTTACTCAAAAAAAGGCCACACAAGGCATCTATCCCCAAAGCTGGGGGTAAACTAGGCCACGGCTTCTGGAAATAGCAGCAGTGAATCTACAATATCTGCCACAGAATCTGGAAGTGAAGCTACATTTTTGTTCTGTAACAGTATTTATTATTTACCTATATCCACAATTAATGTTGCAGATTTCTTTAACTCAGGGCATAACAGCTAGCATTAAACAATTACCATATTAATAGTTGTTAATCAATTACCATAGTAATGGCTTTAAGGGAATTTCACTAGGAGACAGGAGATTTTACAGTAACTATAAATGCATGCCTGGGCATTTTAAAAAGTAACTTCTACGTCTTCTGAGCAGCCACTTTATATTTTCAAACTGTAATTTTAACTTACTACAAAATCCACAACTGTCTTAAATAGAAATACCTCTACTTGTCAAAAGAAATGAGGAGATCCATTATATTTGTACTGTCAGACACCTGCCCTCCTGGTAACTAGACCGAAGCTTGACTGTCTCAGCAGATGTCTTTACTTGAAAGAACAGTGAGAAAAGTAAAGCTAAAATGTTTGGCTTTTTAATTTTGTTTTTAAAGAGAGTGTCATTGGTTCACAAACCTGTCTTTGACAGTATGATTCTTTGAGTTTCTTGAGGTGTGTTGTCATTTTCACCTTGAAGTGAATTTCGCTGCTGTCCTAAGAACAGAAAAGAAAAAAGTTACTCTTTGTAGTTACTGCTTACTATACTAATTTTAAGACTCACATTAGGAAAAACATGCAAAACTAAGGTGGAATGAAGTTTAACTATCACCATGCATAACTTGGTGCATCATAACACAAACCTCCAGGATGATTTATCAGTCGCTAAACTCACCACACACTTCCATAGGAAGCTCTGTTTTAAAACAGACTGCATAGTACAGCCTTAGGGTCACCATGGAGGTTTCGGATTTACAAGTCCTAAAAAACATATATAGCTCAGTCTGTGGTTCCATCTTTACCCAGATGATGTACTTAATGAAACACAAACATAAGACATGCAGGGGACTTCTGCCCTAAGATTCCAAAAGAGACAAGTTAAAGCTTGCACTTCAAAATATATAGAAAACCTTGTTCATTTAGAGTACTTATCTAGAAGTTAGGATACAGGCAGACTTGGCAGCACAGCACTAAGCCAAGGAGAAATCTTAAGTCTCCTTATTCTGCAGTCCTTCCTACCAGCCATAACATACAAGTAACTACAACTGTCAAAATGGCTACAGATAAAACAGACTGCAAGAGGTGCAAAAAGCACACAAGTCACATTTGGCTTTTCAGTGTGTTCTCATCACTGGCGACTAAACCAGCAAGAGGTAAGCTAGCTTGTGTTAGTCCTGGACTACTTCAAGTCATTGGTGTTCAGTCAACAGCACCACAATCGTACTAATACTCCAACAAACAATACTGAGTTAAGTCACCTGAGCTGGGAGTTCTTCACACAGGACAACTTCTGTTCAAGAAGGATCTCGACATTCACATCCCAACACAACTCGAATTCAGACTTACCATCCAGCATTCACATCTACCAACAAGCCAGCCAACAGAATCCTCTTCCTAGCCCTGTCCGAGGAAGCTGACCTCATGCTTAGTGTACTACATCAACTCTGAGGACCTGAATTTAACAATTTTGCCATATATTTCATTCATGTATTTCAATAAATTAATCTCTCAATGCATCAGGTTCCCTAGTTGTAAGATGGAGATCACACTGACCAAATCCTGAGTCATAAGGATAAATTACTCAAGCTTTTAAAAAGACCACACCAGAGTACACTAATACACATTACTGACAATTGGTAAGTAGTTCATGGCAGGGGAGGATCCACCTTGAAGAACTTTCATTTGTTCATTTCTACAATACAAGAACTCCAAATGTCAACAAGTAATTATGTAAAAACTCACCTGCCCAATGACTTTCAGTTTAATGTATTCCCCTTCTTTCTTATCCCCTAAGTCCTCAGCTGAAGGTTTCGCTTCCTGCAAGAACAACATTTAAAAAAATCTCATCAGTTTTATTTTCAGACAGTATGACAACTGTCATCCTCCTTATTACATGAAATCAGACTGTCCAAGGCACCTTATTTCTTCCTTTCCATGTGTGAAAATAATAGCAACATAGTATTATGAAAAGCTGACTGTCTGTCTGTGAAAAGTTTAATTAATGATGGAAGAGAAACACTGTGAAGAACATGAGATGAGTGAAGGATCATTTGGAAATAGGTGACAGATGCAAAAATGCTAAGTATGTTTTTATACCGCTAACTCCTAATCAAGAAACAGACTACAAAAAATACAGGAAGTGTACTAAGAGGCTCAGATATTTGACAGAAAAGAAGAACATCACAAGGAGAGTAAACAGAAAGCATCTGTGACACCCTATCAGTGAACCACGCAAACGTTTTTCAGCCCATTGCATTAACAGTAGTCACTACTTTCAAAAGGATGGTCAGCCAGTTTCTTTCCTGTGACAACAAATCAAGTAACAGCTTCCTTCTAACACATTTAAGACCACAATTCTTAAAAGTTCTTAGAAGTTGCAGTTCTAAGAACTACAGTGTTTTTATATCTTTCCATTATAAGAATTAATTGTACAGGCAAGTTTTATTCAACAACTTGAGCACTAAAGTTCATCAAAAGGGTTTAAGTGTTATGTTCTATAAGACATGAATTAAGGACATCAAAGTTTTCATGTTAGTTGCCGACAGATAAGACAAGTGAGAGATGAAGTAATATTAATCCAATCCCTTGCCTGTCACTACATATTTGGGATCAGGCCTTTAGTCATGTTCCACTGCAGCACAAAGAGATTTTACACAGACACTGCCTCAGGTCCAGGTTGTGCCTCATGAAGAAATCTTCCCAAGTAGTCAGAAACAAGGATACCCTACTGATCATGTTTCAAATCTTTTATATTTTATTGCTTAACAACGTAGACAAAATAAGCCAAATATGTACAGGTACCTACTACGTATATTCTCCCAGCCCTAAAGGGACTTTTTGCTGAGAATACAGAAATATCCTTTGTATGGTTAGACTTGAACTTCAGGATGAAGTGCCAAAAATATATACTAACCTTCTGTATTAAGTCCATCCAGATAGGTCTCTAACTCCCGACTAAAATGGCAGACAAGCCTTTTCAAATTTTTCACCTTTTTTTTTTTCCTTAAAGAGATTAAACATGCACAATTTCTTTTAATGTCAAAAGTTCAGGGACTGGCAGGGGGCGAGTCTGCAAACACCTTCCCTATCTGTACCAGTTTCAGTCTGGAGGAACGAAAGAGTGAGGAAGTGCTCTTTGTATCAGTTTGACTCACTGCCTGAAGCCAGATCCATTCAGTTTCTGTGATGACAAAAAAGTATGAGCCAGAGACTCCCACCTGGTTTGAACACTTTTTTTTTTTTTAAAATACCCACCTAGGAACAACCTGGACTGCTGGGACTGATTCACCACCCTTCAAGCTCAAATCCCAAAACCGACCTCAAGCTTTCAATAAACTAGACACTTAACCCTCAGGTCTCCAAGCAAGTTCCTTCTCAAGTGTGAAAGGAGACTTCACCAGTAACACAGCCACAGGAACTGTGCTCCTCACCAAAGTTTTCCCTAACACAGCTGAACTCTAATCTCATGGGACTATTTGCAGGAATAAAAATACACTGGTTTCCACTCCTGACTAAAAAGAGAAAGAAAAACAAGAATCCATGATTTATTCTGATAACCTGCGCAAACAGCATTTTTCTCGTCCACGTGTAGGATTACTAATCTCTAGAAGTCAGAAAGAGATTCACATCTCCACAGATCTGAAATCCGAAATTTCAAAAACGATCTCCTGTTTTGCTATCCCTGAATTTATAAGAACATCTTGCCCCTTTATATGACATTTCAGGTCAGTCACTGTCTTAGTTTACTTTGCATAAGAACCAAATTGTACAGCAGCACATTATCTGTGCATTGTAACAGATCTACCTACTTAGCTTTCCAAAACAAACCATTCTGTACAAGGTACGACAAATCATTTTTGCTACTATGACAGTGCCTCTGGCCAATATGAGTGGAAAGCAATGACTCATAAGATGTTTGATTCCTACCCTCAGGGAAAGGGGGCTCTAGTACTAAAAACAAATAGAAGCAGCAGCAAACAGTAGAAAAAGCAGAGGGAACTGGAGTGTTTAAACATCATCCCATAAAGATGCTTGTTTAAAGCCCCAACAGCCTCTCACCCACAAAATAAGAGCAAACAGAGCTGTAATTTCAGGAAAAAAGAAATCAGCACTGACAACGACAATAATTGAAGCTTTAAAAAAAAAAAAAAGGAGCAAAAAATATTTGGAATCATAATACAAGACCCAGCAAGTCTGAAACAGCTCCCTGCATTCTGTCAGTGAACTATACTGCCATTCAATGCCAAATGGTAAAGCCAAGACAAAAACACTTAAGAACAAAGAAAGCAAGGAGACTGCAAAGTTACTAAACTACAAGCATTCACCAACAAAATCCTGGAGCAGCAATCTGCAAGTAAGCCTCTAGACTTTTGCTTGCACTGTGAAAAAGACTGGTGCTTAGGCTATCTCATGAAACAGTACATAAAATGAGACTACCATACAAACAGGAGTACCACAACACTCCGAGTTCTAATTTTTCATTAGGTACCTAAAGTTTTAAAGGCTTCATTCCACAGTCTTCCTAAATAGCACAAAAGAAGGCTCCTAGTACTGTCTCACATTTATGTATTAACACTAAATTCATGACCATAAATCACCCAAAGCTTCCTGGATTAAATGCAATTCTTTTTGTTTCTGCTTAGATCCCACCAAGCAGCCATATTTTTTTTGAAGTTTACCCTTTTTGAAAGTATTTTTACTTCTCATAAAAGTTAATTTCCTATTGGAAATAAAGTAACTATTCAAGCATGCTTCTTTATTTATACTAAAAAGACAACCCAAAATTATAATAACTGGTGACAAATTATGTCCTTTTAACTTAATTCCAGGGCCAAAAAGAA